TTTTTTTTTTTTTTTTTTTTTTTTTTTGAAACTTTTAACAATGCAATTTCTGCGATGAATTTCTCTAGCTTCGAGATATAATATATAGATTCCCGCGAATGTGGAAAAGTAGTAAGTACTTTCCTATGATTTTGTTATAACTTTCTGACACACTTACGATTAACACGATTTCTTGGTAAAGCTTATGAAAAACCACCGCTCACGTAGTGCCTTTAATCACTTCTAAAAGAGTTAGGCGAAAAGCATTAAACAAATTTTAAGTAATAGTGCTTATAAAGTTTGACCATAGTTTCGAAGTTGACCTGAATAATTTTTTTTCTCTCTCTCTCTCTCTTTCTCTCTTTCTCTCTTCCTTAGAATAACTTCCACGATGTATTAAAAGTTGCAGGAATATATAACGTCCGTATTAACGGTAGAGGGATGTCTGACTATAGACGATCCATTACCACTTTCTTCTCTCCATTCAATGAAGCTCGGTCAATCCCAACTTTTTTCCCTATATTTCCTCGAATCTTTTAAATAAACGAACTCGTGCATCAAATAAATTTACATTTTTAAATTAATAATAATTTTCATAATTTAAAATACTTGGGATCACGCTTCTAGACGAGAGTCTAGATCACAAAATCGAAATTGAAATAAAAAAAAAAATTCTATCTTCAATTTTCAGAAATTGCGCAAGATCGAAAGAAAAGGTTCTGTTCCAAATCTTACTCGAAAAAATTCCATTCGCATTTCTGTTCCGAATACAACCGTATTCTTGAAAAAAAAAAAAAAGATATTCGAAAGGTCAGAAGGTCGAGGTCGAAAGAAAAGAAGGAAAAAGTGGAATAGGTAATCGGTTTGGAATCGATAGGCATCGAAGATATACATGTGTGTGTGTGTATATATATATACACGTACCTCCATGCCACGTCGATTTCTCCATCGCACCCACTTGTTGAACCCCGGCCGCCAATATTCGACGAAGTACTCTTCGGTGTACTCGACCCCGTGCCCGTTCCCGAACCTGCCCTGGGTCCTGGTCGAAGTCAGCATACGCGGGCTGTGCAAATTCACCTCAAGATACTCCTTTCCTTCCTTCGTGACCATATTTTTCGGGCACCAGGCACCGCCGCCCTTGTCTTGTCTCAGCCTGGGGAATTACGAGCAGAATTATTACGACCCTTAAAGTGGGAATATTCTCGTGCAGTAGCATATTCTATACGTGGGAATCAGGGGCTATTCTCTAGCACACGAAAAAGCAGAAAATATCTTTTATCGTGTTTCCTTTGATAAGTATATATATATATGTGTGTGTGTGTGTGTTGTTTCTTTTTGTTCCAATGAATAAGAAATATACTTTTTCTTGTGAACGCGATATTAAAGTAGAATATGGTTTTAAATTTTAGAGTTAGTATCTAATTATGCATGATATGTTATTTTTTTCTATTTGTATATCTATTAGAGATATAGTCTAATAATATAAATATTTAATAATCCTGGATCGAAGTCTCTAAATGGAATAATATATTATATATCCTATTATACGTACATTTCTCGATTTCTCAAATTAATGAAATTCTACAATTTCGATAATGGCCAATTGTGCAAGCAATATGCATCGAAGATTCATATTCGTGGCAAATCGGTATAAATTTGATGTATTCAGTTAACTAATATTTTAAAATATCTTATAATATATATAATAGTCATTATTCTTTTTATTATTTAATTCTAATTATCTAAAGATGCAAAAACTTATTTTATATATATATATATTTTTTGTATCTTTCTATCTAACAACGATTCAATCCAATTACAAAAATTACTCTCACTACATATTACGTTAATCTTTAGAAAGGATTAACAAAGAATAGAAAATTTTTTTTCAATGTTTCGATTAATAATTAATACCAGAAATTATAAGAATTCTACATTGGAACATATTATCCTATTATAATTTCAAAAATATTAAAGAGTGTAAATGCTAATTTTCTTTCTAAAAACATACATATTTCCATTCCCTAGATATTTCGATACGAGTTGAGGAATAATTAATGACCGATTTCTGCTCTCTGTCTTCCCTGTTTCTTCGTCTCCCGCAGTGCACAAATGTGTATAAATTAATGACGAGAAAATCGATTCTCCCGTTTAACCCGAGATTTCTTTTTTTTCTTTCTTCCCACTATCGATTTCGAGTTATTTATAATCATTTATATTTATATATATCGATCCGTGCATCCGATAATGGCTTTCAACGTTGATATCGAGAGGCGCACAGAATGAGAGGAAGGAAGAGGGGTGTGAAAGGGAGAGAGGATGGATAGAGTGGTACAGTGTGCGAGAGCAATCGGCGTTTAATCATCGGCGCACGTTTCTGACCCATTTACATGTGTACCACGTCGTCGTCGAGAACAACGACAAAGCAATTCCCATTCCAGGCCACTTCGTCGATGTTGCTATTGCTATTGTTAGGGTTTAACCTTCGTATCTGCGTGAGTTTCAATGGAATTCGATGCATTCGATTTTTTTGAATTTTCTTTTTTTTTTTTTTTTTTTTCCTTTTTTTCTCTTCAACTCTCTCAGAGGAACATTTGAGTGAGTAAGTAACGCGAATTGTGTTCTGATGTTTTGTCTGATGATATTTCCTGTTTTTTTTTCACGGACGAAGCGATACAACAAAGAAGTGTTAGGATTACCATCGAAGAGCTATTTTTTTCTCACGGGTCAAGTAAGTTTTTTAGTTTTTTGTACAAAGTGTGTACAAAGTTGTACAAAATGTTAGGATTTTGCGAGAAGCGAGTGAAAAGTGTTTGAGGATAACAAGAAATGAATATATATGACGTGTACTTGACCTAGAGAAGTTGTTTGAGTGAAAGAAATAAGGGAGGAATGGGGAAACTGAGAATGAACGTGTGTTCGCGTTCACTTAAATTATTGCGAAGAACCTTTTTCATTGGAGAATTATCCCCGAATTCTATTTTATTACTAACTATAATTGTTATCGCCTTATTTCACGAATTTATCTAAAATCCACTATAAGAGATAGAACACGTTACATAAGTATAATTACTTACTTACTTACGAATACGTAATCAAAAAATTAAAAACTTAATTATCGAGCAATTATCACACCATCTTATTTGCGAAATCGCTTTCCAATATATTATTATTCCAAACAAATATATCGTGGAATTCTCTAACACGAACTCCTTGCTAATTAAATGAATTCCTAATACATACCTTAGAAAAAACTGATTAAAATTCCATCGATACAAACAACATATTGAAATTGCTTAAAATTCTCTAATTCACGGTATCTCCATCCACTATTCACACTTGTGTCATTCACACGCAAACGATGCAACGTATCCCCTTCATCTCGTTCCACCTAACCCTATAATTCTCGCGATCGAAACGAAACCTCTGAATAAATTTCCAGCGCAAGGGAATGTAGAATTCCGATATATTCTTTCCGTGTCCGTGGACAGATCGACGATGGTCACGTGACCTATAATTTCGTAGCGCGAAACGAGTTTTTAATTCAACGAGAACCGGGGAAGAACGTGGCCCCGATCCATACGCTTTATCCACTGCCTGGTGAGCAGACATCGCGGCCGATTTTCCATGCTCGCGGCTAAAAATAGTGGGCAAGGGCCGATAACAAGATCGCATTATGTACAGGGCGGGGATTCTTCGCGTGATACGAATTGTTAGCTGGATGGAGTTTCATTTTTAAGCTCTATTTATCACGCGCCCAACCGAGCGATTTTGAAAGAATATTTCTCGGGGGAGTTGATTCCGTCGAGATAAAATTTATTTGAAGGATAATTATATCCGCACCTGGAAATAACAAATCGTTTGTCAATGGAATTAGATTATGCTATTGGTAGTATTGGATTGAAAATTGAAATTTGAAAATTGAAATTTTGTTATGCGCAACGAGCTTTTGAAAGAATATTGGAGGGGTTGATTTGGGTAATCGAGATAAAATGTGTTTGAAAGATAATACCTGCGTCCGAGAGTAATAAATCATTTGTCAATGGAATGGATTATGTAACATTGAATACAAAATTGTTTGAAATTTGTTGAAATTTTTCTGTGCCTTCTAAATTTGTTATTTTGTTATTTAACGTGGTTTCTTTAATTATTTTGGAAAAAGAATGTTGTACGTTTGCTGAAATTCGAAAAGAAAAAAGGTTAGTTTGATTATTTCATTCGTTCAATTTTACATTAAAAAATAATTTATTTATATTTATACGAGATGAATTTACTTTTCTCGCTATTTATAAAATAAAAATAACAAAATGTTCATCATTTGAAGATTGAAAAATCATACTTTACACACGAATAGTTTATTACCACTCACAATTCAATGGTAATTAAACATTAAACTTTCATCGACTATGATATAATTTTCTTGATTTTCAAACCTCGTTAACAGATTAATTCGAAACGAAACCTTACATTTTATAGGTGAGCTCCAACTTTTTCTTCTATACACTGCACAGACTTTTCTATCAATTAAAATTAATGAAAGCTGACCCAATGTGTGGCCGTGTTTCTGACAGACCACGATACTTTGTTTCGATACGAGAGCAACCGGGTACCGGTGGTAATTAATCTGTTATTTCGTTGCGATTTGTCGTGGTGGATAGCGGAACGTTGTTTGGCAGGTCGTCTGTGTCAAAACGGATAATTTGGATTGTTTTGATGACAATGCGATTCGTGTTACGTATCGGCTTGATTGCAATTTGTAGAATGGTGTCACTTTGTATTTCATCTCGTGTCGAATCGAGAATTCTATATACCATGTTTTTACAAGTATCATCGTCGAATTTTTTTTCTATTATATTTCGAGCAGAGTTTTATATTATATATGCGGTACTCTCGTAGTATAAAACATCGTATTAAAAAATTAAATTTATCATTTAACCTTTCGAGTGTCACGGTTCATTACTGAAAGTGCATAACATTATTTTATTATTATATTCGAACATTATTAAACCTTTTATCCTTTATTATATTATTATATTATATTAATATATTAACCTCGTATTCTTATTATAATATATCACTCCGAAAATAATATATAAAAATTCTCGACATAATTGTTTAAGAGATTAATATAGTTTACCATTTCACAGAGTGAAAAACTTTTTGCGGAATATCAATTAGAAACGTTACATTTTTTTTTTTTCTTGAAATATTTTATTTACGAAATCTACTTCAAACTTCGATTCTTGACTTTTATAAACTGCAACATCTCTTCAATCGATGATCGACATTCTCCCATTGCGCAAATACATTTCGCGAATAAAAACTTCAAACAATTTCGAAAGCCCATCGTTCAACACTTGTGTAAACCTTGTATAATACAATAATAAAATTTCTCTTCGAAACCAATCAAATCCTAATCTACATCCCCCTTTCACCAAATTCACTCGTTTCGCATTCACTCGTTTCATCCAATTCCCCCCGCGTGTCTCAATAACAATCCTCTCTCGAGGCAAAAAAGAAACGAAGGAAGGAAAGAAAAAATATCTTCGAAGATTTCCATCCCTGGAAAATATCCATCCATCCATCCATCCAGAGCGACCGTGTATACCATGTCGTATGGAAAATCGCGGAATAACGTCCACGAGTGGACGTTACTTCCGGCGTTCCGATCCAGATAGGGGGCGGCGCACAAAGCGGCCGGAGAATCTCCATGGAAATATTTCAGCTGGTACGGTCGTCGAGGACTATCATAGAGGCGGCGTGCCCGCATGTAAACAATAGGCCAGGCGAAACCCACTGAAAGCGTTTGCGGTTAATTAGGCAGCAATGCTGTTAACAATGTCCTGGCTTCGCCCCTCCCCTCCCGCCTTCCGCTCATCCTGCACAACGTAGCACGGCCAGCAAATTCTCCGCCAGGATTTCGTACGAATAAAGTTATCCTCCCACTCTTCCCCCTCCCCCTCCTCCCCGTGGCTGATTCCACGATCGCCTCGAGGTCGCTAATTATCTGTCGTTCCTGCGGGCTAATTACGCGGGCAAGGAAATTAACCAACCGTGCGGAGAGCGTTGAAAATTTCGACGATGATAGCGTCTAGCCACCGATATTCGTGCGAAATTTCTTTTTTTTTTTTTTCTTGGTTTTCTTCTTCTTCT